ATAATATAATTCCCAACCTTGCTGTTTATTCATTTTCTACGTCTTTCAGCTTTTCTACCTGACAATATAACAAATTTAAAAATTTTAGTGTAAAAAAAAAATTTAATATAACGGAACTCGAAACAACAATCATGTCAACATGAAACTAACGCTCAAAACTACACCACAGGCCACATTGTCCACAATATAAATTATAAAGGTGTTAACTGATTGTGAAGTGACTTCAACGTCATGCTGTTACTCGTAAGCACGTAATGGTCCACGTAGTTATATGCTAATTTCTTAGATACTTATATGTGTGAGATCACAATAAATACACGTATAAAGTCAGTTTTAATGTCGGATATACAGAATATACAAGTAATGCAATTAAAAAATTAAGTGCTCCTCAGGAGAGGCGGTGACGTCAAAGTCACGTGGCATCTGCAGCCAATTACCGCGATAATTTCTTTCCACTTTTAAGAGTGTTGCCTCCGTTCTTCCACGTCAACTCGAGAGTTCAGTGCGGAAACGAGCCGAAGAAATGGCGGATCCAGAGGTGCATAGTCGGTAAGTACTTGTATTGTTTTCTGTTTATAACGTTTCCACGTGTGTGGGCGCAGAATAATTTTACGTGTTATTTTAATTTTTGCCATTAACTATCGTATGTGCCTCATTTATAAAGAAAAAAAATGAGAGAAAGCGATGCTGTACTGTTAACGAGAGCTAAAAAAATAACGTGATAAATGACATAAGTTAATTTTCTGTCTGTTATTGATACTTATTTCATGATATATGTTCGCGTCAAATGAACATACTCTTACTGAATTTTTATATACAAATTTTCTAGAATATTTAAACTAAAAGTATTTAACTAAGAAAAGTTGTCTTACTGCAGAAAATTACTAAGCAAAACTTCACAAACAGCTTATTTCCTTGTGTAAATAACCGCATGTTTACAATGTTCGATTCGACATATTGAACCCTAAAAGTGAAAAAGTCAAAGGGTTTAATTAGGTTAAAATTTCCCTTCTCTTAGTGAATTTATTTTCGGTCTTTAAAGTTTTAGTTAATAAGCTTTGTTTAATTTTCGATATACAAATGATTAATACTCATTCTTTTCTACTATATTTAATTCCGGTAGTTCAGTGTTTGTCGACATGTAAATCGCGTATCCCTCAGTTCCATCAACTTGGTGGGACGTTGACTTCTAAAATGTAAAAGCGATATTTATTTGTTAAAGGCAGTTGAATGAATGAAAGAAAATGAATTACACTTTGTAAAGAGATTTGATTGAAATTAATTTCATGTAAATATTTTTAATAATATATTTTGTTTATACTGTAATTATTCATATTAAAATGGAAACGTTTTAAAACAATACATCTAATACGTGTTATAGAAGAACTTTATAAACGTTATTTGTTTAATTATTACAAGTTTCACATGAAAGTCCCAAATAACATTAAATAGAAATTCACTTATTCGACCGATTTATTATTTATCGGTCTACAAAGCAAGAGAAATCATGTTCAGAATAAATATATAGGTTCGACAGTGTTAGGTTATACACTCCTTTCCCTCGTAAGGGACGAAACACTACATGATGACACCCGACGTGGAATAGCCACGAGCAATGTGACTCGACGCGCTAGGCGGGTCTTTAACTGATAACTTATCAGTTTAAGGCTTGCTTTTTCTTCAGTTTTTAATGTAAACTTGTAATTATGCTTTGTGTGAATGTCAGACACATACACACAAAGCATAAAACATACACGGGGCATCCATGTCCGTTTATTTAGGCTTTAGGACATACGAAATAAGTGTTGATGAAAAAAAACCTAAAGATTTTATCATCTGTTACTAAAAAATAACATGTAATTGTTCATTCTCTATAAAATTAGCATTTGGTAAGTCATTTTCGGGTCGAGAAAATATCTCCATATTCCCCCTCATAACTATATTGTTTAAACACTTTTTACAATAGATGTTCATTGATTAATATTCTGTTGGCGTAACGATTTTTACTTTCAAGTTTTAGGATTGTATAATAAAATAATGGAAAATTCCAGGAAATCGCAATATGGGACTAGCATTATCTAAATATATAAAATTACTTGTCCTGACTGACTGAATGACTGATTCGTCATCGCCCGGTGCAAACCGCTGAAACTAAAGAGGTAAAATTTTTCGAAATTCCCAGGCGGAGAGAAGAGGGAGACAATTAAAGCTTAACCGGAAGAACGGCTTCTACTATACTATTTTAGATGCAAATTTCCGTTTTTAACTACGTTTAATTTTCATTAAGTATGTGACCGGAGGGTCGGCACCTCATCGATGCCTTGTCAGGATGACACCACCGCGTCTCGGTTGACACGGAAACCTAACTAGGTCATGCGATCAGTCGCGTAACTGAGCGATCAGATTCTGGATGGAGGAAGTGAGAGACACAGAGAGAGCTTACAATAATTCGCGTGGCGATAAATACCTGGAGTTTGGCTGATTCTTGAATACTTGATAATAAGATTCTTGAAATTAATAATCCAAGTTCTGGTTCTGGCGACGACGTTAGTCCAAGTTATCGTTAGTCCGAAGTTATGTTAGAGATGTTTGAATGGGGATCAAAGCTTACTTGTAGTAAAAGGACTTAGGGTTGGTATACTTTTCTTTATTGTTTCTGAGGTTTTATTTTCTGTTTCTTTTTTTTAACCTTTTTTGGGCACTTAAAAAGTACGGTTGGCGATGAAGTCAATCCAAATAGGAGGCTCATAATAAGTCCTGTTGGGAGCTGACGACTTCTGTTAGAGGAACAACTGCGACTGTCTCGAAAATCTGTTTGTAGCTATATTCATTTGACAACTTTAAAGGTAATAGGTCGGAAGATTAACTCCCAGGTGTGAAATTTGATGCTTAGTCTACTCGATAAAATAGTATTGTTAACGATTTAGGTCAGGCTGTAAGTTAATAAACACGCTGAGTCTCACAAGTACTTAGATGTATTAAATTGATAACATTTCAGACATTGTTATAAATATTTTTATATATTTCGATGTTTTAACCAAATATTCAACCGTTCTAAATTCGAATTTGTTATTGCATATTGGTTCGATTATAGAACGATTATAATCGTTTCAGAAAATTGATCAAATTGAAAACAGTTTCCTTGATTCTACGCAATTCTCATCATTCTCAGCGGTAGGTGTTATATAACAATTACTATGGTTGTTGAAATACTGAATATAAATGTGGTTTGCTAGCAAAATCCTCGCGGGCAAAGCCGTCGGTAACAGCTAGTTAGTTATAACAGTACAGTATATAATGACCTATACACATATTCAGAATATAATAAGTTACAAAACAATTCCACGCGAATCCTGTATTATTTATATTTTTTTATAACAAAAACTGTACAGACAAGTTTGTTTGTTTACCTTAATTATTTTTTAATTCTAGTCGGGGAGTGTTAGAAAAAGTATCAGAGATACATTTATTTAAATCCACGGTCCTTTTGTTAATTATTTATTTAAATAATTAACAAAAGGACCGTCTAATAATGTGTCAAAAACTCTACACATACACAAAAATGTTTACATTAACAAAAGGTCACTTTGATATTAGTATTAATATCTATTGATAATTAAATAATATCTATGATTTATCTTACGAAGTGTCTCCTTTAAAATATGCAGGATTATCTTTATTCTATTAAGAGGATTATAATACAGGCTACGCCCCTCCTTAGTCTACTGAAGGGTATATCCCGAAATACTTTCCTGTTCATAAAATAGATATGTCTTTTCTTTTAAAAAAAATGCAGCGTTTTCTGGTACGATAGCTCCTAGGAAATAAAACTTGGATTTTTATGGTTTCGCGATAATCAAGATATTAAGATTTTTGTATTAGCTTATTATCTATTTTTAAAATATTAGTCATGCATATATTGTTTATACACTATTGTCGGAAATACTACAACTAACGTACAGTACAACAGACATGTTTGTTAAAAGTAATAATAAATACCTTTTTGTTGTTTAGGATTTCTTCGAGTGAAATACAAATCCGAAACGAACAAAACGAAGAAATTATTATATCAGAAGCTCAGTTAAATAAAGTCCTCAGCAGGCATATGGAACATCACATCACATATTTTGAAAATTCGAAAGTACTGTTTATGCCTTATCCAATCTGGACCATCAGACAATTCGTTACGTACGTTTTTCACGATAGTTACCTTTCATTTAATTTCAATACTTCAATACACCATAATTTATATTTTTTAAACAGTTATGTACAGACAGACGATCTCGGATTGATCTCTATTACACACGCTTTCGATCTGTATCATCTGAGTTTAAGATACGAGTTAGACCATTTAAGAAAGAAATGCAGATCATTTATCATTCAAAAAATAAACGTGAATACCGTGTGTTTAATCCACGATTTTGCACGTGAGATCGGTGATATGCTCATAACTTATTATTGCTGGCAAGCTTTCGACGAACACGAAAAAAGACTATTTACAACAGTCGACTTTAAGTGTTGTAAAATTGCAACAATTGATAGACTGCTATCTCGAGCGATATACGAATATGTTAGTGAATTGCGTTTACTCCGAGCCGTGTATCAGTGGAGCATACATGAAGTTAAAAGAAAATTGGGTGCAGACAACTTCCATTTGATGAATGAAGAATCGAAAAGGAATGCAATAAGAAATGTAATGGAGCCATTTATTGGAAAAGTCAGATTTCTTGTCATGAATGAAGACGAATTGCAATCTTCTGTTTTTAAAATGAACTTGTTAAGCGAAGTAGAAAAAAGTCATATCTGGCATGCTTTTAAGTATAATTATTATTCCTTGTATCCCAGTTACTTCAGTCGAGAAACAAAAACCAGAAGCAGAATAAATTATTGGAACTTGTTCTCGTACATAAATCGTGGAGATCCTTCTCTGGTCTCAATCAGAGAGATGAAAGGTTACATATATTTTAGCAGCGAAGTAGTTGTAAGAGAAGATTGTTTCGTCACGGCCCTTCGATTTCCGTTGAAGCTTAGCGAAAGTTTTCCAATGTACGTACACGCGTATATTAACAATTTGGACAACGAACAGTTTCCGTTTGACACCGTTTGCAATTCAGAGGGAGTAGCAGAACTGCAAACGAAGTATTATCTAGAAAAATATTGGAAAATTCGTTTCTTTGCTTTCTTTTATCTCGCTGAAAATGTCGAACCCGATATCGAGTTTTCACCTGAACTGAGTTACTTTGTGAGCGACGAAGGAACAGATGCAAGGAAATTTGAAGACAAAATTTTAATCGGTGACAGGAACCTTATGAATAATATTTACTTTTTGGTTGATTTATATTTTTGAAGTCAAAAGTTTCCTTGTAAAAAAGCAAAAACTGAACGAGAATATAATGTAAAGTTAAATTTGAATACGATTATTTCTTACGGGTATCACTGTAAAATGAATTTATTGGGTTTACGAAAAACAAAATTTAAATATAAAGTGCTTATTAATGTAACTTTTTTTTGTCAAAAGTATATTGTCATTAGACGAGTTGCTTATAATACAAAATTTAGTATTTACAAATACAGTGGTACCTCAGGATACGAAATTAATCCGTTCGTATCGTGGAGCAAAAATATGTTCGAATTTCATGTCGTATCCTGAAAATTTCGTATGCTGGGGCGTTCGTAATCTGAGGCACCACTGTATATCATTATTAATTAAGAACGTTTATAATTGTCAGCATTTGAATGATAATTTCGTGCGTGTCTTCATTTTTTATGGCAGTAGATGTTCGAGAAAAAAATATAATTACAATCTTACAGTATTAATGTTTTCTTTCTTCATGCTAATGACGATAGAAATATGAAAAAAGAATTTTCGTCTAAATGAAACAGCTATTCGATATCCACATTTGATTACAAATAATTAAACAGTAGGAATAATAGATTCTGTTGAGTATTTTTATGTAAATTTTAGATACAAATAATGAATTTTCAATTTATAAATCATACATTTTCGAAGTTATATTGAATTATTCCAACAGAAATTCTTTTATTTAAATTAATATTTTAAATTATAATTAATATCTCCAATTGAATTTCTAAAAAATGAACAAATTAATTTTCTATTATTTAATATTAAATTCTTGAATAAAATTTTAATATAAATATCAGAATAGTTGTAAATCACTTTTTCAAAAATATTCAATTGCACAGAGCATGATTACATTGGGGTCCCGGCTAAGAAAATCGCAAAATTTAATATTTCGTATAAAGCGTACACAATATAAATTTAATATACATTAACTGATTTGTAAAAAATAATGTTTTCAATTGTTTTGTAGTTTAAATCATATATATAGGATTGAAGGAGGTAAAGGGCTGCTTCACCTTTCAACACTGCTTTTCATAGTAGCGAATAAGTGAACTTCTTTTTTCATATCAATTTTCATAGTCAATAGAGCAACCGGATAGTCAAAAACGGGACCTACACATTAATTTTGTTTAGTTAACTAATTTTTCGATTAAGCAAGCTGTCATTATATACAGTAAAAAATGAAATAATAATTTGTTGTATAAAAATGAAATACATAATCTCCTCACAAAAGATTGCTATTTTCTTATATAGGATGCTTTCGGTAACGTCTTTCCAGAAAGTACACACTTGGCCACATTGTTGTAAGTCCCGATCATCTAAATATTTAAATACGTATAGTAGAATTTCTGGTATTTTCAACACTTTAGAGGAGATTTCTTGAGAGGTTGACGATGTCTCTATCGATTCATCCTCACTTTTTCTTTCTTTCATTTTAGGAACATTTTACAAAAAACGACAAATTTTCGAATTAGTAATCTCTTGTTCTCAATATTTAATTAATTACCAGAAACAATATAATTTTTAAAACAAGCAATTATGTAAATTTTCTAGTGAACTATAAGATTATAATCTATAGATCAATCTATAAAACGTTATAAACAAAAAACAATAGGACGGACCACTTAGAGAATGTGCATCATTCGGTCGCCATTGCTTAAGCTCGTTTTCTTCTTGAAGTATTACCATGGACATCGGAAATGCAAAACCTGTCACGAGCCTACCTTAAAACTTCGATCACTTCAACCACGTACCATCTCTGATGCGTTTCCGAAAAACTTTTCAGACTTGAAAGCGTCCGTGGACCACAGTTTGATAGACATTGCATTTGTTAGGTTTTTCGTAACACCGTAACATTCTACAACAAAATTCAACAACTCAAGATTTGGTAACGACGATTTATCTTTCTGGATTACCTTCGAAAAAACAAAAAATGACTTATTGCATTACTTGTGCAGAATCTTTAAAACTTTTCCAGAAGTTATCGAATAAGAAGTGTTAAAATTTTAAGTATTGTGTACGTCTTCCCTAATAAATCCTATTTTTTGCAATTTATTCTTGTATTATTTAATAATATTATTGCACATACAGTAGAGGAAAAGGTGGTATTATAGAATCCCAATTACATTTTAGTGAATTGTAAACAAGGTATCATAACTACACCCACATTTTTTGTGCGAAAAGTACTGGTAACTAGTAAACTAAATGTTCTTAATTGGATTTTTCGCTAGTGTAATTATAACTATGGTTTTTGAAGGCTTTTGTACAAAAAGTCCGAAAGTAGGCTTAGAGAAAATCGGGTGGTAATATGGAACCTTACTGTATATTTTCAAAAAAATGCTTTAATGTAGCCAAAAACAAATAGGAAAGGACAAAAAATGTTAAATAATTACAAAATTATTTACTCCAATGTATTTTATCGCAAAAATGCTTTTATAATAGAAAAATATGACCTCCATCAACAATATATATTCCAGCAGCTCTTTTTCGATATTTTCAGACTTTCTACCTAGTGTCTTTTTCCCAAATTGCTCCGGACGAATGTCTGATTGCAAAGAGAGAGTTCGGAGGAGTTGAGTTCCATATTACTGTAAAAGCACCAAAGGGGTCCGTATTTCACGCATCGCCATCTCGAATTAACTTATGTCTGTCGAGACCAAAATTTAAAAAACGTGAACATCACACAGATTAATATGTACCCCTAAGTCTCTGGAACGGAATACATGCACCAGTGAACCTACAACTACACGATTTATATTTTAAAAATAATTAAATTCACTTAGCATTCAAAACTTGTGAATTTTGAAAAAAACAAATTTGCCAATTAAATACGGACAACCGTTTAACTGAAGTAAAACGGGTTTTCCCCTTGCTATGGATGTCTGCCTAGTTCAATTCAGCCACATTCCGTTACAGTTCGCCTTTATTATCAGTTCGAAATGGGGTGGTTCCATAATACCCGCAGTGTTCCATAATACCACCTTCTCCTGTACTTTTTCAACTTGTCGGATACACGTGTCAGCCTTACAGAGAAAATAAAGTTCATTTAAGATTTTTAATTAAAATCTTTGAATCATGCAAACATGACATGATGTTCGAATCGAAGTTAAGCAATTCTGTAAGGCAATTCTAACGTATTTGTGTTACTTAGTTTATCCAGTTCAAATTTTATTTCTAATGCTTTATCTGAGTAATAAGCAGGGCTGTGGAGTCGGAGTCGTGGAGTTTTGGTGTTTTAGCCAGAGTCGGAGTCGTCAAAAAATCCGCCGACTTCGACTCCCTTTTACTTACCAACTTGTTATGTATATGAAACGGAGTTGGAGTCGGAGTCGGTAGATTTTTACGCGACTCTACAGCCCTGGTAATAAGTGATTTCGCTGACATTATCTGATGCTTTCATATTATGAAAGTACCATGATTAATTGTATATTTTTAAAAAAATAAGCGGATCAGAAAGTGCTAACACTATTCATTATTTTAACTATTCAATAACAAAAGATTTTAACACAATACAGACACTAACAAAATTATTAATTCATAAAAAACACTGCTACCCTTTACCTGTAACGACCGATCTTCGCATCTGTGTACTCAACACAAGTGCCACTAGAACTGTGGTCTGCAGACCGGTGCCGGTCTGTTTTATAAATATTTTTATTTATTTTTACAAAAGTACTGGTCTGTGAACATGAAAAAATTAAGAAAAGCTGCTCTAACGCATTTTACAACTATTGTTTCGAAAAAAACAATTTATATCCGAATAGAAAAGTCTTAGTATTATATAAATTATTGCAAAACTTTCATTGATTATTCACTGTGAATGAAGAACAAAGGGAGATTGCATTGACTCGTGCGCAAAATTATCGAAAAATATATCAAGAAACATCGAAGAGAAATTATACTCAGCATATTCTAGTCTTGTAATTGAATGTTAGAAACAACTACTATATCGAAAACTTTTATATTTCTCTGTTATTGATTTTTTTTACTGTTGATTAATATCTTCCACCTCACTCATCCTCGTGTTCGTGTTAAATGTTCAAGACGACAAGGGTTAAGTCATCCTATCGTGATGAAACTTCGTGTTTTATTAATTCTGACCAAGTGCAAAAACTTTAGTGGGTGACCTCAAACGTTTTGACAATATACTATATAAAATAAAACGGTTAAGACAAATATAAGCCATTTCTATTTGTATTAATTGATTTAGACGACAAATCTATAATTATTTATTGTCACAGAGACGTCACATAGTTGTGGTTAGCGAAGTTTCCAAGTAGTGTCATGTGACACGTTATGTACGGCTCCGCTGTCCATTATATTACTCCACCATCCGAACGAGTTTAAGCAATAGCGGCTGGAACGCTAAAGAATCTGTAAGCAATTCTATAATTTTTTTCTTTATAGCGATTATAAAATTCAATGTGTTTTGGACATTACTATCGAAATTGTCAAAACAAAAATCCGTAATGGCAAGAAACTATAACTTTACCGAAACGTCTATGAAATGTTTATCTAACAATAAACAAATTAATAGAAAACGCGTAATAATAATGTATAATTTTACCACATTTTATTTTACTGTTTAATTAAACTAACACAATTTGGACAATAAAGGACATGACCATTGTACTTATCGTTCGAAAAATTATGAGTTAGATACAGAACAGAAAACGAAAATTTCGCACTATATAATTACATTGCGTACATAAATTCTCTTATAAAGTTTACGTAAACATTTCTTTAATAAAATGTTAAAAAACACGTACTTACCGGATGTAACGAGCAAGCGTCTGAACAAACGAATGACAAATCTAAACTGAACCCTACTACGAAGGTTACTATTTGACCCACCTGCTTTACTCTCTGAATTTCAGCTTTAAAGATTCCTTAAGCCATTGTCACTTAAAACAGCGTGAAATCTCTAATCTGTTTCTTATCGTAATATCATATTCGGTCCATTATTTCTTAGACTCACTAAGTAAACTATATTTACTTAATACAGCAAAGTTCCATAGAACGTTTCTTCATTGTCCGCAATTTTCAGCGGGAACAATTAATAAATTTTAACTAATTACGTTATTTATACATGCCTGAATACTTAGCTCTAATTATTCTTAGTGATCGATATCAGTTTCTCAACCTGTAACGAATCGTCGCCCACTTCAACGTAGTATCGACCCCTTCAATAAAACCGTTACATAGTATCGCCCCTTCACTACAAAATTCCAATGCCGAGGGACAAGGCTAACGCCAAATTCGTACTGCATTGAATAGACTAGTGACTACTATAATGTTATTTGTTAAATTATTGTACGATATAACCAGTGGTGATATTCAACGGATTCGCACAGGTTCGGCCGAACCCGTTGTTAACATTTTCAAAGTTTTCCGAACCCGTTGTTAAACACACGTAACATTTCTGTGATTTTGTTTCTTTTAAAAAATATATTAAAATATACGTATTATACTCTGTAACACTACTAAATTAGAGCCTTATACCCTGTTCGCCTAGTGCAACCTCCATGGACCGTTTCAATCTCGACTAAAACGAGGTTCAATCGCGATCGACTCGAGGGAGTTCTCGAAAGTAGATCCAGTCATAAGAGAGAACCACAATCCCACAATCCCACGCGCGCGAGAAAATAAAAGATGGCTGCGGGGCACGTGTCGGGCTATCAACAGCGAAATAAGAAAGATATTGTATTTCGAGAAACGATGACATCTGTCTATTATTATAATAATACCTAACGATAAAATAAATGATTTAGAAAAGTTTTTCTTGTTTAACTGCTTTCCCTATGACTTTTTCTGATTAAAAAAAGCCAATTTTTATGTTTATAAAATATTTTGAATGAAAAATATTAAAATATGTACAAAATAAACCATTTTGAACAC